AGGCCTCTGCAATCACAATACAATCTGCCTCACTCCCTGATTTTTGTGCCAAACCAGAGAGGGCATTGCTTCAGCTGGGAATGAGTCTAGCGTACCCTAGTCCGGAATGGCCACGTCACCTGTGTTAATACAGTCCAGCTGGAGGCCCAGAGAACTGCCCTCCTGGAGTGTCACCTCTCCAGAACTGACCCTACAGACTCAGCCAGGCTGGGAGCTGCAGCAGCTGACTGGGTGCTGCCTTCCCCACTTAGCCTATCCATGCCCCAGCCCCACTTTGGAGAGAGCAGTAATATAGATAAATTGCCCAGCTGCTCCCCTGCAGCAAGGATTGGGACCCCAGACAGAGGCTGAAGAAATGTAGCACCATTCAACCTGTGACCTTTGTCTTGCAGTTGCATTTTACACACTGTCATCTTTCTAAAAGTAGTGCTAGCCGTCTGGCTCCCTGATGTGAGCACCCCATTGCTGCATATTCCTGTTCCCTACTGTGTGCTCACTGCTGAAGGGCTCCTTCCTGCCACAGCACCTCATTGTCTCGCTCCCGGGCCCCTGCTGTTTGGCCATACTCTAAAGGAGGACTGGTCCCCATGTGACGAGGTTTCCTCTTCCCTCATGCCAGCCAGGGAGAAGGCAACAGGGATGGGACAGCAGGCACAGGTGAGGTGAGGGAGCACTCCACCCTGACTTACAACCCCTCTGCTTGGTTCTTCCGGTAGACCAAGTGAATGAGAAGGACTAGCCACATAGGAGGCGTATGGAGTACGCTGTGCAGACTCGAAATCGAAATTGCATTTCTGTCGCAGGCCCTAAGGAACCTGAGGACCAGATTCCTCTCTCTCCTGCAGTCTTGGTTCTCGGAGGGGGCTAGGTAAATGGTGAGCTGGTGAGGCCAGGTTGGTAGTGTGTTTGAGATGTGACTCGCACCCTGGCCCTGAGCCCCGGGATAACACCTGTGATTCATTGTGTGCTACATTCAGGCACTAGGCTAAGCCCAACCTTATGAGATAGGATATTTTATAAGTGAAGAACTATCACTCACAGAGATTAAGTTGTTTCCCAAAATCGCACAGCAAACAAGAGGCAAAGCAGAATTAATGTTATATTACCACTAATACTAGGAGGTAAAATTTATTGAGTGCTCGTTATGTTGCAAGCATTGTGCTAAGTATTTTACATGATTATATCCTGTGATTTTCACAACAGCTCTTTAAGTAATGTGATCCCTCTGTGGATACAGGCTTGAATGTCCAGTAACTTGTCAAAGGTCATGAAGCTTGCTAAACCTAGTTAGTGGGGGAGCTGCGCTTCAAACCCAAGTCTGTTCAACGCTAGAGCTTGTGCTCTTAGTCACTATACTATATATTACCTCCTCATCATCAAGATTTTGAATTATCAATGTATTAAATTCTTGGTCAAGCAGCTCAGCGGTGTAGAATAAGGTCCTAATAAATCAGGTCACCGGTTTGATTTATGTGGGTTTCATTTTAACTATAGTGAAGTATTTCTTGCCTCATTCCTGAGAATTAAATAGTCGCATGCCCATTGGTCACTGTGGATCAGTGGTTCTCAACCTGTGGGTCGCGACACCCTTGGTGGTCAAATGACCCTTTCACAAGGGTCACCTAAGACCATCCTGCATATCAGATATTTACATTACGATTCATGAAGTAGCAACAAAAATAATTTTATGGTTGGGTCACAACATGAGGAACTGTATTTAAAGGGCCAGAAGGTGGAGAACCACTGCTGTGGATGAATCAAAACCAGTCCGTTCCATGCTAGACCATTCAAACGCCACGTCGTCAGGGCCTCCAGAACGGCACTTTCCCTGCATTTTAACCAGCAGGTGAAAGTCAAGGGTTTGCAGAATGAAGTGCCAGAGGTCTCTGACTTCGGCGAGGCTTGTTGCAAGCAAAGGAAAATGTTAAGGTCTGAAATAAGTGACTTCCAAATCAGACATGTAAAGTAAGATTTATAGGGCACTGTGAGGTTTGGACTTGTTAAATGGTTTTATTAAGGCAGACTTCTTGTATAAAAAATATACGTGAATGTTGAAAGCTCTGGAAATACAGAAAAGTCTAGGTAATATTAAAATTCCCTATTCATAAAGGGCTTGGGTCAATAGGTTTCTTGTTAGACTCAGCTAGTTAAAACAGAGTTCAATAAAGATTAAATCTTTAGATTTTTCTGGACATGTAAATTATGTACTTTACCTAAATTTCAGTGAGAATATAATCTCCAAGTTCATCAAAACCAGCCTCTTCATACTTTCTCACTTCACTAGACATGGAGAGCCCAGGACTTAAAACAAGGCTGAATGAGCAAGGGCAGTTGGGTTATCCATTAATCCTGAGCCGGGGAAGCAAGGCCTACTGCTATCTGATGGGGCGGTGTCGGAAGTTAACCACAACCCCCAGGCTCAGGTTCCTTCATTCAGTGCAGCTAATGAGGAACTTCGCTAGATTGAGGAAGACAAGGGAACATCGCCTGAAGTTCTCCTTTCCACCCCGCCTCCCCAAATGTCAGTCCACATCATGGAGAGCAGAACCCCTCCGATGCCCGAAAGGCCCATCTGGCAAGCGGAGCAGGAGATATGCAGAGGATCTAGGCAGGCAAAGGAATGGCTCTCCCTAAGGTAGTGATTAGCAAAGTGAGCCTGGCTGGGGCGCGGGCCGGGTGGTGTGGGGTTGGGGCGTCAGGTTTCACCTGGGAAGCGAGGCCCAACCATGCCAGCTCCCACAAAGGGCTCGGGCTCCCTGCTGGAAGCTGCCCCCTAGACCCGAGCACCCCCAACTCCCCGGCCAGAGCTCTGGACCCGCACCCACCTGGGGCACACATGCCCAGTAGTAGCCCAAGTAGAGGGCAGTGCCAAGGCTCAAAAGCAGAAAGAACAGATTTGTCCCGGGACACAGGGAGAGACACAGCATCGCGGGGCCGGGTTTCTGCTCCCGAGGTCTCGACTGGCTCCAGGGCCTTGGCTCCGACTACAGGACATGCGGGGCAGCCCCGGGGCTGGACGGGCGGCCTCGCCCGCAGCCGCCATCTCCGAGGGCACCGCCGCCCCTTCCCCTGGCCGCCTGGCGAGGTGAGTGCCCAGCCTGGGTCCTCACGCACGGGACTCAGCCACTCCAGGGGTGACGCCCTGCCCTGTCACACAGAACAGCCACGCACAGTGACCTTGACACTCAGGAAGTGGTCAGTTCACGTGGTGGCTGACCCTGCGGTGTCACAGTGTAGCCATTCACCCGGGTCCTCCCACGACACCACCATTCACAGTGCAACGCTCCGCGGTCACTGAGCGGGTGGCTCACACACAGCCCCACGCACGGGTTAAAGTCGCTCAGACAGTGCCAGTCTGTGTGATGTAACCCTGTCTAGTGAGTGCGGCAGACATTCACTCCTCACCCACTTGGCCCTGGGAGACCCAGTGCTCTCCCTGGCTTCCCTGGGACGTAGAAACGCCGCCCGCCAGAGCCGTGGCTCTCCGCCTAGGCTCACATGCTGACAGGAGAATCATCTGGGACTTTTAAAGCCGACCAGGCCGCACCTCCGACCTATGTACATAAAATGTGAACACACTTTAACAGCTGATGACTCAATATTTACCCCTTTTCAAGTTTAACTGATTTGAAATAATGGATGAAGCCAGGCTCAACTTCAACAAAAAATATTTATCCTAAAGTGCCACTAGACTTTATTTCACGGGGATACATAAAAGATAAAGTTTACAAAACCAGCAACAGTGGACAAATTGAGGGCACACAAATACCAAACAAAATGACTCTTGACGTTTGTGATTCCATTGCTCTGAGTTATCAGCAGTGCCTGGACCAGAACGTCATCAGTTTGAAAATAGGCATTGATTAAAAAAAAAATTATTCACTTCTGTAGACTCTTTAAATTTTGAAAATGAACTGTGTGCTAATAAACACTGGTTTTGTAGTCATTCAAAGTGCATATACATTTTTGGGGGGCACCCTGTAGTTGGTCTGAGTCAGAGCTTAGGTATCAATATAACTTAAAAGCTCTCCGGGAGCGTCAAGTCTGTAGTCAGGTTGAAACCCTGCAATAGAGCAAGGTGCTAACACCATGGGATCAGAGAAAGTATACCCGATGTTAAATGGCAATACACTTAAGGCGAAACCAAAAGACGAGTAGATTTCCAGGCAGGCAAGGGGGAGACTGGCAGGGAACAGTTGTTCCAGGAGAGGGAACAGCCTAAGCAGAGCCTGGAGGTGAGAGGCTTCTTAGGAACCAAATAAACTTGGTGTGGCTGGAGCCAATGAGATGGCCAAGAACCAGGTTGTGAGCAGCTACATAAAGGATGCTAGAGTGTGTCCTAAGGGTGGAGCAAAGCCATCAGAGAGTTTGATGAAGACGTGGGCAACATGTTCAGATTTGTTTTAGAAGAATCACAATTCTGGAGACTAGAAGTCCAAGGTCAAGGTGCTAGCAGGATTGAGTTCTTCTGGCAGCCGCGAGAAAGAGTCTGTCCCAGGCCTCTCTTCTAGTTTCTGATGTTTTGCTGGCAATGTTTGGCTGTCATTGGCATGTCGAAGCTTCACCCGATCTCTGCCTGCATCTTTGCATGCTCTTCTCCATGTGTGGCCACAATTTTATATGGATGCCAGTCACATTAGGGACCCAGCCCGCTCCAGTATGAAGTCACCCTGGGCCCCTGCAGTGACTCTACCTGCAAAGGTTACATTCTGAGGTATTCGGGCTTAGGACCTCAACGTGTAAATTTTTTTTTTTTTTGATTTTTTACAGAGAGGAAGGGAGAGGAACAGAGAGTTAGAAACATCGATGAGAGAGAAACATGGATCAGCTGCCTCCTGCACACCCCCTTCTGGGGATGGATGTGCCCGCAACCAAGGTACACGCCCCTGACCGGAATCAAACCTGGGACCCTGCGGTCCCCAGGCGGATGCTCTATCCAGTGAGCCAAACCAGCCAGGGCAACATGTAAAATTTTGAGGGATGCAGTTCAACCGATAATACGGAGTGATGGAAGCTGCATGAACAGATGGGGAGTGAGGAAAGAGCCCAGGGGAATTCTGAAGCATGAAGAAAACGAAGAAGAAATGACTACAGAGAGAGAAACGGTGTTGCCGAAACCAACAGGTACCGTGCTCCCAGGAGGTGGAGTCGTTCACCAGGAAAGTGGCAGGAGGACCCTGATGAGAGCGGGTTTGCTGAGATGGAAGCTGGTGGGAAGCAGCTGGTGGAGAAGGAGAAGATGAAGACTCCAGCGAGGTAAGAAGACATTGATTCAAAGAACTAAGTCCTGGGGCCGGTGGGCGAAGGCGTAGTCTGGAGCCTGGTGGAGGGACTGACCGCTGTGACTAAGTTGATGACACTCGATTTTGACACAAAGCTGCAGCCACACTGTGTGCTGGCAAACAGCTGCCACCATCACGCTTAAGAGGAGGCACTTCCCAGACCCCTCCAGGCCTCACACGGAGCCACTTGTCCAAGATGTGCAGTCACAGTCACACGACACACACCGGCACTGTGACAGCAGTCACAGCTGTCACTGCGAATCTCAAACCCAGGAAGAGCTCACCCAGACACCCCAACACCCAGACACCCCAACACCCAGACACCCCAACACCCAGACCCAACATCTCCTGCCCATCACACACCAGCCAGCCCGGCCCATACTGTCACCCGGACACACAGACACACAAAGTACCCCCTGCTGTGGCACAGGCTCCTGCAACACACAGCCACGTGCACCAATCTCTCTCTCTCTC